GATGGAAATCAACTACCACATCGTAATCCTTGAGAAATTATACCCATCTTCTCTGTCTTAGATTCAACTCCTTCTGAGTCATCAAGTACTTTAAACTCTTATGATCAGTATACAAGTAACAACGTTCACCATACAAGTAGTGACGCCAAATCTTAAGTACAAACACTACTGCAGCCATCTCCAGATTGTGTGTCGGTTAATTTTTTTTCATGCGGTTCCAATTGTCTCGATGCATAAGCCACCACTTTTCCCTCTTACATCAATTCGCATCCCAAATCGTTATGAGATGCATCGCTATACACTACGAAGTTCTTGCCAGACTCGGGTTGAACCAAGATTGGAGCTTCTGTTAAAATATTCTTTAACCTTTCAAAACTCTCTTGGCACTCCGAAGTCCACACAAATTTTACCTCTTTCCTCAATAAGTTAGTTAGAGGTAATGCTATTATCGAAAATCTTTTAACGAACCTTCGATAATAACCAGCTAACCCCAAAAAACTCTGGACTTCTTACACATTCTTTGGAACTTCCCACTCTAAAATGGCTTTAATTTTTTGAGGATATAGAAAAGCTGTCTTGGGAATATCTTTCTCTTGAATCTTCAGTTGATGGTAACCGAAACGTAAATCAATCTTTGAGAACACTGAAGCTCCCTTTAACTGGTTAAATAAATCGTCGATCCTAGGAAGAGAGTACTTATTTTTTATGGTTACTTTATTGAGTTGCCTGTAGTCGATGCAAAGATGCATTGATCCATCATTCTTCTTAACAAACAGAACTGGAGCTCCCCGTGGCTATACACTTGGTCTAATAAACGCTTTATCCAGTAACTCCTATAATTGTATCTTTAATTATTGTAATTCTTTTGGAGATATTCAGTATGGTGCCATCGCAATAGGCGTTGTTCCCAATATTATTTCAATCTGAAATTCTACCTCTCTATCTGGAGGAAAGCCGGTAACTCTACAGGAAATACGTCAGAAAACTCTCTGACTATAGGAATTTCTTCAATCCCCTTCTCTGTAGCTCTAACATCCAACACATTAGTAATAAACCCTTGACATCCCTATAGCAGTAACTTCTTTGCTAACATTATTGAGATTACGTTTGCCAATGGATTCCATCCTTCACTAAAAAACACAACTGTTACCCCTTCCGGACTTCTCAACGTTACTCTTTTCAGTCTACAGTCAATATTAGCATAGTAATGATATAACCAGTCTATTCCAGTATCACCTCGTATTCGTCAAAAGGTAATTCCATCAGATTAGAAGGGAATTCAATTCCTTAAACTTGTATGGGACACCCTCGACATACCATATTCACCCGAGCACTCTGCCCTAACGGATTCGTTACTATGACATCACTGCTAATAACTTCTAATTGAATATTCAATTCTCTCACTAACTTACTGCAAATGTAAGAATATATAGACCCTGATTCAATCAATACAAAAATATTCTTGTCATACATTTGAAAGATATATGCTATAATTTCTGGGTCATCTTGATCCTCGTTAGTCTTGAGGTTGTATACTCGAGCAGTGGAGCGTATCTTTTGTGGAGTTGAGGACTCTGACTGACTTCTTCATCTCCCTCTACCTCTTCCCCTCTGGGTAGCAGAAGGAGACCTCTCTGGTTGTGCAGATTTACCCGTTATCATAGGATAATCCCGAACAAAATATCCCGTGTCTCCACATTTAAAGCAAGCTCCAAAGATCATCCTGCATATCCCGAGTGATTCTTTTCACAATGTGGACATTGTCTAACTTGACTCAGGTTAGATCTCCCAGATCCAGATCCCACTGACTGTGTTTGTCGTCCCCTCATCGAATTTGTTCCTATTGTGGAGGAGGCCACTGACTCTGATCTAGCTTGAGGTCGATAACCAGCATCTCGACCCTTTTTTGATGGTGCAGAACTCGATGATGCACTCGATCTTTTCAATGTTTGAGTTCGGGAATCTCCAAACCTCTCATTATGTGCTCTTTCCAGAGTTTTGGCACAGTTTACCACTTCTTGAAACGAAGATAGATTTAATACAATTATCATTTCTTTCAACCGAGGACGCAATCCCTCTACAAACCACTCACAAGCATCCTTCTCTATAGAAATTAATTCAATGGCGAAGTGGCTTAACTTATTGAATTCACACTCATACTCATACATTGTACGGTTCCATTACTTCAAATTCATGAACTCTTGCTTCATCTGTCGGATAAACTGATCTCTGACGTATTTATGCTTGAACTCTTCTAAAAATAAGGACTAAGTTACTTGATCACCAGACATTCTCAATGTAATGCTGGTCCACCAAATCCTTGCTTGTCCTCTAAGCAAGGAAACCACTCCATCTAACTTCTCTGAATTGGAGCAATGAAGCCCCTAAAGCATGATTTTTACGTCATTAAGCCAAAGGTCTGCAGTAACAGGACCTTCTTCAGCTTTACCTCTAAACTCCAGAGCTCCTAAACCCTTCAACTGTTTTGCAACATTCATTATTGGAGCTGAAGTAGAGGGAGGATGGAAACACGCCAATATATCATCCAACGTCCTGAAGAACGTATCTTGATCACTCATAGTCACTCCAGAAGGTGTCTGTTCTTCACCTTGCCTAGCCAGGGCAGGTGAATTACTTCTTTCAGCGGGCCTATCATCTCCCACTTCACTTCTAGAACTATCATGTCCGGACATCTATAAAACATAAGCATATCGTTCTAAAAACAACATACGTATTATTATATTAGATCAGAGGTTTTCACTATTTTATTGGCATGTATACATTATAAGACACTCTAGACTCTGGTTTATGCCGAGAATCGACTAAACCGTAGCTTTGATACCATCAAATGTAACACCCCACCCCGTACCCGACCCGTATATGAGTATGAGGTGTCACATTAACTTTTCAAAATTTGACTCTTTACGAAAATCAAGGAAATTTTAACCTTTCATTAAAATAAAAGTTATTACTTTATATAAGTTGACCAAAACAAGACAAAATCGATCAAAGCATTCGTAACTAACACATTTCTTACATGGCAACACACTATATACAATAAAATACATACTTTCTCATTTACTTCTGATTTGATCTTCCAGTAGAGACGCTGTCATTGCCACTCCTATTTTTGCTCTTCTTGTTCCTTTGTACCTACATGTAAATCACTTACATGCTAAGTCATAGACTTAGTGAGACATAATAATAAATACTTAAACAATAAAATCATGAACATGTACCAATATCAATTCATTATGACATTGCAATGCACATGTTGATACCACACTATGACATATATAAATATGATATGCAGGAATGAACATTTACGTTTATAAGAGTTTTTCATTCAATTTATCTTTGGATGCCCATGTACATTATTGAGAATAGTACATGAGTACACTGAGCTTGTTCACAATGCTATCACCACAGCTCGAATAAAATCCCACTAGGGGCACTGAATGTTTGTCCCGAAGGACCACTGATAATCCCTCGACTCTTGGCATGCCAATTATACCTACAGCTCTTATATTAAATAACATGGGCTTAAATATGAATACATTTCTTATTTCATATCTCTTTTATCACTGTCCATGTAAACACATAGGTCACTTCATATGCACACATATGATCACTTGAATTATTTCACATACATGGATTAATTCTCTTATAATGGCATTCATTAATATAATATCATGTTAAAGCATGAATGCATTATACATGTAATCACTATAACATTAATATATATATATGTATACATATATATAAGTATAAAATCATAAATTCAACTATAAGAGATAGACTCATCGCAAGTCTTATCTCAATACAATTCTATGTAGGATATGCACTCACTTTAGCCTTGTTTGATTTGACTCGATCCTAATCCTTCAATTGATCCAGAACAAGATTACGTTCTATATCTACATAATCATACATTGATACATATCAGTATTCTTAATAACATACCCTAATCTTTCATTTCTTAAACTAAAGGAAAAACAAATTTCATTTCTTATCTAAAGTAGGTATCAGTACCCTCTATAGGGTATCGATACCTAACTCAACTGAGGCATCGATACCATGCCTAGGTATCAATACCCATATTGCATTTTGAAATTTTCATTCCAAGGGGGTATCGATACACTCCTGAAGGTATCGATACCCTTTGGATATTTTCTTGAAATTTGCTCTGGAGGTATCGGTCCTGTTGAATGTGTATCGATACCCGTTACCTAGAATTCACATTTTAAGCACAAAAATTCACTCAATTCCTCACCAATACTTCATGTTCAACCTTTTTCATATTTTAAACTCAAATACACATACTTAAGCCCATTTGTACTCATTTATCACATCTTAACTCTCAAAATCCTATCATCTACATGGACTTCCAGAATTATACCAATTTTTCACTTGTTCTAAATCTAATTCTATCACTTCCTATTCCTTAACAAAGTTGGTGACAAGTCAAATTTGGTCTAGAAATCTAATTACTATATTTCTACCAAAATTTTACTTATTAACTTCCTTTTTACAATCCTTCATATACCTTTCATCTTGTGGTTTTAAGACAAATTAAGCTTTTCTTAAGCTTAATTTTCATCCAATGATCATAAACCAATCTTAAATTCAGCAAGAAATGAACTAACCATGAACTCTCCTTTGATTTTGGACCTTTACACACAAAGAATAAGAGAGGAGAAGAAACTATGGAAACCTTGTGTTTTGCATCCTTTACTTCCACGTGTGGTTAATATATAACCCTTCTTTAATTTAATTATTTTACTATCAAAATGAACATTTTTTCTTTCTATTTCTCCTTCTTTTCAATTCAATCCTACACAATATTTCCCATATAAGTCCTTGAACTATTTAACTATAATGCTTTAGTCACCAAATTCTAAAATTGTATAATTTAGTCACGAACCCGATATGGAGGATGTTACAGTGATATTTCAAAGACAGCTTTTTGTACTCGATATGGGCATTATGAATTTGTAGTGATGCCATTTGGTTTGACTTATGCACCAGCAGTATTCATGGACTTAATAAATCGAGTTTTTCAACCATACTTGGATCAGTTCGTGGTATTGTTTGTAGATGATATCCTGGTTTATTCCAAGTCAAAGAAGGATCATAATACTCATCTTAGAGTGGTCCTTCGGATACTTCGTGAAAAGAAGTTATATGCTAAATTGTCCAAATACGAGTTTTGGTTGTCGGAGATTTCCTTTCTTGGTCATTTAGTGTCGTTAGAAGGCATTAGAGTGGACCCTAAAAAGATCCAAGCTATAATAGAATGGAAATCTATAAAGAATATTACGGAATTTCAGAGTTTCTTGTTCCTGGAAGGTTATTATAGACTATTTGTGAAGAATTTTTCCATGTTATCTCTGCCGCTAACTAAGCTTTTGCGAAAATATGTGTCGTTTGTGTGGACAGGAAAATGCCAAGAAAGTTTTGAGATGCTAAAGAGAATTTTAATGAGGCTTCAGTGCTTGTGCAACCTGATTCGGGTAAAGAATATGTCGTGTATAGTGATGCATCCCATAATGGGTTGGGTTATGTTCTGATGTAAGAAGGCAAGGTTGTGGCTTATACCTCCAGACAATTGAAGAATCACGAGAAAAATTACCCGACCATGACTTAGAATTGATTGAAGTTATTTTTGCTTTAAAAATCTGGCTCCATTATTTGTACGGTAGATCATAAAAGCTTAAATTATATGTTGACTAAAAAAGAACTGAATTTCAGGCAGAGAAGATGGATAGAGCTTTTTAAAGATTATGAATTTAATATCGACTACCATCCGGGAAAAGCTAATGTGGTAGCAAATGAACTCAGTCGAAAAACTTTTACAGCTTAAAGGGCTTTAGACGCACGTATGTCTGTGAATGGAGATGGTGCTGTGATTGCCGAATTAAAGTTAAAACTGATGTTATTGAACCAAGTAAAAGAACTGCAAAGGAGAGATAAAAATTGTTTGATAAAATTGGCATTGGTTGAAAAAGAAGAGAACAAAGATTTTGAAAGAAGAGATGATGGATGCCTATATTACCGGGGAAGGCTTTATATTCCCGATGATGATGATATGAGGAGAGATATTCTTTACAAAGCCCATTATAGCCCTTTGATTATGCATCCAGGCGGGAAAAAGATGTATCAATACTTGAAGAGTCGTTATTAGGGGTCTAGAATGAAAAGAGCAGTGACAGAATTTGTGGCTAAATGTTTATCATGTCAGCAAGTGAAAGTTGAACATCAGGTGTCATCCAGATTACTACAGCCTATATCTATTCCTGAGTGGAAGTGGGAATGAGTAATAATGGATTTTGTTTCGAGGTTATTGTTGTCATCAGGTAAAAAGGATCGATATGGGTTATAGTGGACAGATTAACTAAGACAGCCCATTTTATTCCGGTGCGAGTAGACTACTCGATGAATAAGCTTGCGGAATTGTATATAAAAGAGATAGCCAAACTACATGGAGTGCCGATATCGATAGTGTCCGATCGAGACTCCAGGTTTACTTCAAGATTTTAGAAATCTTTACGTGAGGCATTGGGAACTCGATTGAATTTTAGTATAACTTTTCATCCCCAGACAGATGGGCAGTCAAAGTGAGATATTTAGATACTGGAGGATATGCTTAGGGCATGTGTGATTGAATTTATGGGATCATGGGAAAAGTATTTTCCTTTAGAAAAATTTCCGTATAATAATAGTTATCAATCCAATATAAAGATGGCCCCGTATGAAGCTCTGTATGGGAGAAAATGTCGAACACCATTAAATTGGTTTGAATTGAAAGATTGAGATCTAGTCGGGCTAGATTTGATGAAAGATATGGATGAGAAAGTAAAGATTGTACAGGGTAATCTTAAGATAGCCTCAGATCGCCAGAATTCATATACGGATTTGAAAAGTAAAGAAATAGAATTTCATGTGGGAGATAAAGTATTTCTAAAAGTATCGCATTGGAAGAAGGTATTACGATTTGGGCGAAAATGAACGCTAAGTCCGAGAATTATTGGACTGTATGAGATATTGAAAAGAATTGAACCCGTGGCTTATCAATTAGCTATGCCTACGGATATGGACAAGATCCATAATGTTTTTCATGTATCGATGCTTAGGTGGTACATATCAGATCCCTCACAAGTTATTACTCCGGAAGAGGTAGAAATCCGACCAGATTTAAATTATGAGGAAGAACTGGTACAAATTTTGGCTAAGAAAACCAAGGAATTGCGTAGTAAAAGGATTTTGTTGGTTAAAGTACTTTGGAAGAATCATAAGGTGGAAGAGGCTACCTGGAAAAAGAAGAGAATATGAAAAACTAGTTTCCACTTCTCTTTGCTTCAGGTATTTCTTTAAAATTCGAGAACGAATTTTCTTAAGGGGGAAGATTTGTAATACCCCAAATAATAGGACAATTATTAAATTGAAAGGAATTAAAATTTGGAGGACTAAATTGATTAATTAATAAAGATAAGAATGATGTGGAAATAGTAGTCTAGACTAAATTGTAGAGAGGAAAGATTAAAAAGGGCATTTATGGGTATTTGGATATAAATGAATTTAAAATTCATTTATTATGGTAGATATATATATATATATATATATTAGAGAAATAAATAGGAGATTAAAACTAAGTTATGAATGAAATATTAGAGATTAAAGAAAATGGGTTTGATAATGATATGTTAATATATGAAGGTTTATTAATGTTTGTTGGTAAAATTGACTTGTCATTAAGGTAAATGAAAGATTAGAAGCATTGGTTGAATGAAATAACAAGTTAGAAATTGTGAGTTGATTTTTACAATCAAATGCTCTTGAGGAATATTGGATGTTTTAAGTGTCTAAATGAAGAAAAGGAAGTAGGGTTAAGTAAAGAAGTGTTATATAGTATTACTAAAGGAAAATGAAAGGGAAATTGGCCAAAGTTGGGTAAATTTCGGGTTGAAAACTGAAAAATCTGGGCAGGGGTATTGATACCTAATAAAGTGGTATTGATACCATAAGCAAAATTAAGCTAAATCATCTAAGAAGTATCGATACTGATTCAATCAGTATAGGTACCTAATGAAGTGGTATCAATACCATAGTGAGGGTATCGATACCGGGTAAACATTGAACTTAACTTTGGTATCAATACCATATAAGGGTATCGGTACCATAGTATAGTTGTATCGATACCTATGGTAAGGGTATCGATACTAGGCCACATCGAATCTAATTTTGGTATTGATACTGGTAGGGGGTATCGATACCATAGTAGGGTAGTATCGATACCATAGTAGGGGTATCAATACTGAAAGGCCAGAAATTGTAATTTGTGTTGATATTGTAGTAGAAAAATTAATAATCAGTATTTTGATTAATTTTAAGCTGTAATTGTTAGGAAATACACTAACAATTGATATTACTCATGTATTTAATGAATGTGGGATAGATCAAAATCAAGCTCCTGAGTAGAGCAAGATGAAAAGCAAGGGACAAGTTCCACAGTAATTATCTTTACTTGTGGACTTTGAGCAAGGAAAGCCAGGTGAGTACATTTATTGTATGTAATTTATATGAAAATGATTAGAAATTATCCAGAATGTAATACTTATATGTTAATGTATATTTTACCAAAATTATTATGTGTTATAGAATATATGAAATTGATGTTGTGAATGAGGTTTTAATGTATGAACTGCTCTAAAATGAATGTAAAAGAATAATGCATATGGGTGCATAATGGGCATGAAAGGATGCCAGAGTTGAAATGCATATAGGTGCATTATCAACAGAAAAGTATACTAGAGTTGAAATGTATATGGGCGCATTTATCAACAGAAAAATATATTATGGTTGAGATGTATATGGGTACATTATCAACATAAAAGTATACTATAGTTGAAATGCATATGGGTACATTATCAACATAAACGATGTTAGAGTTTAAAATGTATAATGATGTATTATAAACATAAATGAAGGTTACAAATGAAAAGAAAGAATCATGGCAAATGGTTTTGATAAATGGAAAATAAAATATGTTTGAAGACCACATGTTATTTATTATATCATGACTCACTAAGATATACTTATCATGTGTAATTACACGTGTAGGTAACAGCAGATAATCATCAAGTAAAGAGTGAAGCTGTAGCAGTAGACATCATCTACTAAGGTTGACTCCTTAGTAACATTAGGACTTTAATAACCATTTTGGAGCCTATTTGGCATGTAATCAAATATAACAAAATATTTTGTATTATGTTTTAATGAATATGTATTTATGATGTTAATTATGTGGAATTAAGTTTACAACAAAATTTTAAAGGATTTTCACAATGAGTATACCATATTTTCAGTAATGTGACATTTGTATTTGTATATGTAACTGTATATATAATATGAGTGTTATATTTATTGGTATCAGAACTATAGGTTTAGCCGATTCTCGGCCAAATTTAGTTTTATTTTAAAATAGAAAAAGGATTACATGCTAATAAGGTTGTCAATGTTACTGAGATGGTGTCATTAAAGGATGATTAATAACACTCCTTACTGATGATAATATTACTGAGACGGTGTCAAATGTTACTAATGATAATGATATCATTATGTATGTTTTATTAGATGTTAGAATCCTTAAATTCTCGAAGAGCGGAGGAACAAGAAATGCAAGAGGGAACGGGGAGTGAAAGTTATGAGGATAATAATGCACAACCTCTTCCTTCAGAAAATGCAAGTGCACCTGCACCCCAAGGGATTCCGACTCCCGACTTTGGAAATTTCATGCAAGCCCTTGATGTCATTTTTACTTTCTCATCCAGTAACTAGAATGTTGATTCCCAATGAGCTGAAGAGTTTGGGAGCTTCAGAGTTCCGAGGGGATGAGGGTGAGGGTCTTATGAAAGTCGATATGTGGTTAAATGATGTGATGATTATGCTTGAAAGCCTATAATGTACAGATCAAAAGAAGCTGGGAGAAGTTGTATCCTTGTTAAGAGAATCAGCTCGAGTAAGGTGGTCTAATACTACGATGTATGCATCACCGGAGCAAGTCACATGGCAATTTTTCCAGGAAAAATTCAAAAACAAATATGTGGGTGAGCAGTTCAAACGAGCAATGTTGATAAAGTTCCTTAATTTAAAGCAAGGTGACCGAGTAGTCCATGAATTTGAGGCTGAATACAACAAGTTGAGCCGTTTTGCCACTGAAATTTTGCCAAATGATAAGGCCAGGCGTGATTGGTTCATAGAGGGTTTAAGGTCGAAGCTAAAAGAAATGATGATGGCCTTGAACTTTTCGAATCTGCAAGAAGTTATAAATAGAGCCAAAGCTATTGAAAGAGCTGAGGAGGAAACATTAGCGGCGAAATAGAGTGTTCAAGCGGGGAAGAGAGTGGGAATGCCTTCTACACCGCATTACGCTAAAAGAGGAAATGGCTCGAGTTCTAGATTCTCAGGAGAGATAGCTTTGCAGTAGTATCACAGAAGAGTATACAATCTCAGTCTTTTTCTGTTAGCTCGGGTAGAGCTTCTGGGGAAAGAAATCAATGTCAAACTGTGGTAAATTGCACCGAGGAATTTCTAGATTTGTCAGTGGAGATTGTTTTTTATGTGGTGATATGGGTCACTTTGCTCGGAAATGCCCTAAGAAGTTTGGTGATAATTCGGCATAGTCTGAACGATCAATGGCAACCTTAAATAGAAACAGAGAAAGGGGTAGGTCCAGGGGACATATAGACTCAATGCCAAGACAAGAGACTCAAGGAGTGGCCATAATTTACAATCTTAAGACCACTGAGGATCAAGATGACCCTGAAATCATAATAGGTATTTTCCATCTTTACGATGAACCTGTATTTGTTTTAGTTGACCCTAGTTCTACACATTCATACATTAGTACAAAGTTGGTTAGAGATAGAGGAATTCCTTTAGAACCAATAGTGAGTGAGATGATAGTGATAAATCCTATGGGTCACAGCGCAAGAGTATCTAGAGTATGTAATAAATGTCCTATAAAGATTCAGGGGATGGTGTTTTTGGCTAATTTAAGGGAATTGCCCTTCAATGAATTTGAAATTATTCTAGGTATGGATTGGTTGTCCTCACATTATGGATGGGTCATTTTTCATAAGAAAAAAGTTGTTTTTAAAGAATGTTAAAGGTGTAGAAATAGTAGTAATCGGAGAAAAATCGAAGTTACCCTTAAATGTTATATCTGCTATGACTGCGAATAAGATGATGTTAAAGGGATGTATAGCTTTTCTAGTCAATGTGATAGATACTAGAATTCCAGAAGTTAGATTAAATGATATTTCTACGGCTAGAGAATTTTCGGATATATTTCCGGAGGATTTACCGGGACTACCTCCAGATCGTGAGGTAGAATTTAGGATTGAGATTTATCCGGGTACTGAACCGGTGTCTATGGATCCATATAGAATGACTCCGATTGAATTACGAGAATTGAAAGCTCAACTGTAAGAATTAATTGATAAAGGGTTTGTAAGACCTAGTACTTCTCCTTGGGGAGCACCTATTTTATTTGTGAAAAAAATACAAGACTATGCGATTATGTATCGACTACCGTTAGCTGAATAAGGTCACCATAAAGAAAAATTATCCTCTTCCGAGGATTGATGATTTATTTAACCAATTGAAAAAAGTGTCGATGTTTTCTAAGATAGAATTAAGGTCGGGGTACCATCAGTTGAAGATCAAAGAAGATGATATTTCAAAGACAGCTTTTCGTACTCGATATGGGCATTATGAATTTGTAGTGATGCCATTTGGTTTGACTTATGCACCAGCAGCATTCATGGACTTAATAAATCGAGTTTTTCAACCATACTTGGATCAGTTCGTGGTATTGTTTATAGATGATATCCTGGTTTATTCCAAGTCAAAGAATGATCATAATACTCATCTTACAGTGGTCCTTCAGATACTTCGTGACAAGAAGTTATATGCTAAATTGTCCAAATACGAGTTTTGGTTGTCAGAGTTTTCATTTCTTGGTCATTTAGTGTCATTAGAAGGCATTAGAGTGGACCCCAAAAAGATCCAAGCTATAATAGAATAGAAATCTCTAAAGAATATTACGGAAGTTCGGAGTTTCTTGTGCCTGGCGGGTTATTATAGACTATCTGTGAAGAATTTTTCCATGTTATCTCTGCCGCTAACTAAGCTTTTGCGAAAATATGTGTCGTTTGTGCGGACAGGAAAATGCCAAGAAAGTTTTGAGATACTAAAGAGAATTTTAAATGAGGCTTCAGTGCTTGTGCAACCTGAGTCGGGTAAAGAATATGTCGTGTATAGTGATGCATCCCATAATGTGTTGGGTTGTGTGCTGATGCAAGAAGGCAAGGTTATGGTTTATGCCTCTAGACAATTGAAGAATCACGAGCGAAATTACCTAACGCATGACTTAGAATTGGCTGCAGTGGTTTTTGCTTTAAAAATCTGGCGCCATTATTTGTACGCTAAGCGTTGTCGTGTTTTCAAAGATCATAAAAGCTTAAATTATATGCTGACTCAAAAAGAACTGAATTTAAGGCAGATAAGATGGATAAAGCTTTTGAAAGATTACGAATTGAATATCAACTACCATCCGGGAAAAGCTAATGTGGTAGCAGATGCACTCAGTCAAAAAACTTTTGCAACTTTAAGGGCTTTAGACGCACATATGTATGTGGATGGAGATGGTGTTGTGATCGCCGACTTAAAGTTAAAACCGATGCTGTTGAACTGAGTAAAAAAATTGCAAAAGAGAGATAAAAAGTGTTTGATGAAATTGGCGTTGATTGAAAAAGAAGAGAACAAAGATTTTGAAAGAAAAGATGATGGATGCCTATATTACCGGGGAAGGCTTTATATTCCCGATGATGATGATCTGAGGAGAGATATTCTTTACCAAGCCCATTATGGCCCTTTGACCATGCATCCAGGCGGGAATAATATGTATCAAGACTTGAAGAGTCGTTATTGGTGGCCTAGAATGAAAAGAGCAGTAACAGAATTTATGGCTAAATGTTTATCATGTCAGCAAATAAAAGCTAAACATCAGGTGCCATCCGAATTATTGCAGCCTATATCTATTCCTTAGTGGAAGTGGGAACCATTAATAATGGATTTTGTTTTGGGGATACCGTTATCACCAGGTAAAAAGGACTCGATATGGGTTACAGTGGAAAGATTAACTAAGACAACTCATTTTATTCCGGTGCGAGTAGACTACTCGATGAATAAGCTTTCAGAATTGTATATAAAAGAGATAGTCAGACTGCATGAAGTACTGATATCGATAGTGTCCGATCGAGACCCCAGGTTTACTTCAAGATTTTGGAAATCTTTGCACGAGGCATTGGGTACTAGATTGAATTTTAGTACAGCTTTTCAACCCCAGACAGATGGGCAGTCAGAGCGAGCTATTCAGATACTAGAGGATATGCTTAGGGCATGTGCGATTGAATTTATGGGATCATGGGAAAGGTATTTGCCTTTAGCAGAATTTGTGTATAATAATAGTTATCAATCCAGTATAAAGATGGCATCGTATAAAGCTCTGTATGGGAGAAAATGTCCAACACAATTAAATTGGTTTGAATTGAAAGATCGAGATCTAGTCGGGCCATATTTGATGAAAGATATGGAGGAGAAAGTGAAGATTGTACATGATAATCTTAAGATAGCCTCAGATCGCCAGAAGTCATATGCGGATTTGAAAAGGAAATAAATAGAATTTCATGTGTGAGACAAAGTATTTCTAAAAGTATCATCTTGGAAGAAGGTGTTGCGATTTAGGCGAAAAGGAAAGTTAAGTCCGAGATTTATTGGACCGTATGAGATATTGAAAAGAATTGGACTCGTGGGTTATCAATTAGCTTTACCTATGGATATGGACAAGATCCACAATGTTTTTCATGTATCGATGCTTAGGAGGTACATATCATATCCCTCACATGTTATCACTCAGGAAGAGGTAGAAATCTGACCAGATTTAACTTATGAGGAAGAACCGGTACAGATTTTGGCTAAGAAAACCAAGGAATTGCGTAGTAAAAGGATTCCTTTGGTTAAATGACTTTGGCATAATCATAAGGTTGAAGAGGCTACCTGGGAAAAAGAAGAGAATATGAAAAAAACAGTTTCTACATCTCTTTACTTCAGGTATTTCTTTAAAATTCGAGGATGAATTTTCTTAAAGGGGGAAGATTTGTAATACCCCAAATAATAGGACAATGATTAAATTGAAAGGAATTAAAATATATATGACTAAATTGATTAATTGATAAAGATGAGAATGATGTGGAAATAGTAGTCTAGACTAAATTGTAGTGAGGAAAGATTAAAAAGGGCATTTATGGGTATTTGGATATAAATGAATTTAAAATTCATTTATTATGGTAGATATATATATATATATATATATACACATATATATAGTAGAGAAATAAAGAGATGATGAAAAAGAATGTCAAACACTCTCTTATTCTTTCTCTTTTGCGTGAAAAAGCCTTCAACCCTAGCTAAAGGTAAGTTTCCAAATTAATGAATTATTCCTTTAATTTTTGTTAGTTATCAAATCCTTGCATATAATGGAAACTTAATAAAGGTTTAGAGGAGATTAAAACTAAGTTATGAATGAAATATTAGAGATTAAAGAAAATGAGTTTGATAATGATATGTTAATATGTGAAGGTTTATTAATGTTTGTTGGTAAAATTGACTTGTCATTAAGGTAAATGAAAGATTAGAAGCATTGGTTGAATGATATAACAAATTAGAAATTATGGGTTGATTTTTAGAATCAAATGCTCATGAGGAATATTGGATGTTTTAAGTGTCTAAATGGAGGAAAAGAAGTAGGGTTAAGTAAAGAAGTGCTAAATAGTATTGTTAAAGGAAAATTAGAGGAAAATTGTCAAAAGTTGGGTAAATTTCAGGTTGAAAACTGGAAAATCTGGGCAGGGGTATCGGTACCTAATGAAGTGGCACTGATTCCATAGGCAAAAATTAGGCTAAATCATATGAGAAGTATGGATATTGATTCAATCAGTATCAGTACCTAATGAAGTGGTATCGATACCATGGTGAGGGTATCGATACTGGGTAAACATTGAACTTAATTTTGGTATCGATACCAAATAGGGGTATCAGTACCATAGTATAGTGGTATATATATTTATGGTAAGGGTATCGAAACTGGGCCACATCGAATCTAATTTTGGTATTTATACTGGTAGGGGTATCGATACCATAATAGGGTAGTATCGATACCATAGTACGGGTATCGATACCGAAATGCCAGAAATTGTAATTTGTGTTGATATTGTTGTAGAAAAGTTAATAATCAGTATTTTGATTTATGTTTAA